CAAGATCCCATCCTCTTCTGCAACATTCCCATCTGCCACACACCTCCCCACAGGAGTCTCAGATGCTGCCCAAAGTTATTCTTTGTCACTCAGTTTTACATCCTCATTCCATACATTCCAGATGCTGACACTTGTCAGCACAGCTCCAAAGTAAAATGCAGGCTCCAACACATCACAAGACCCAGAGTCCACCTGATCTCTCACCGCCTTGGCCCCAGGCCTGTTTCCAGATCCTTGCACTGAGGCCCAAGAGCCTCCCACCATGTCACTTGACAGAGAATACTTACAGGTGGAGGGTGTTGTACATCCTCTGGCAGATATCCCGGATGTCCTCATCATCTTTGGAGTCTCTGGACACTTCCTGCAAGAGCTCTCCCACCGCTTCAAACAGATCATCCACAGACTCAAAATCTGCACTGCCACTATGCAGGATCCCTGCAAGAGGAAAGAGACAAGCCACTGAGCAACAAGCCCCAAATAATCCCAACCCAAACAACAGCCAGCGTCACGGGCTCAGCACTTCATCATCCTAACAACTCCAGTGAGCAACAAGGATCATTCTGGGCTTAAGGTAGTGGGCTGGGACTCGAGCGCCAATCGAAGAAACCAAATAAGAGAGCTGTGGATTCAATTCCAGGCTCTGCCACAGATGTCCCGTGTGACCATGCACAAGTCACTTTGGCCCAGATCCTCAAAGGGATTTAGGCTCCTCACTGACATCAAAGCCAACAGGAATGAGGTGCCTTAGTGTCTCTGTGCCTCAGATCCCCATCATGGGATCAGACTCCCTCTCTCACAGGAATTGAGAATAATTTCATTAATATTTGAAAGGCTCTGACTAGGCTGCTGGGGGCCGTAGAAGCACCTAGATAATCAGACCCCCCCCACCTCAGACAGCAGGGTTTGAAGCCTCCCCCACAAGCAGCAAGCCTTCTGATGAGGGGGGAGGGATATGCTCAGTGGTTTGACCATTGGCCTGCTAAACCCAGGGTTGTGAGTTCAATCCTTGAGGGGGCCATTTAGGGATTTGGGGCAAAAATCTGTCTGGGGATTGGTCCTGCTTTGAGCAGGGGGTTGGACTAGATGACCTCCTGAGGTCCCTTCCACCCCTGATAGTCTAGGATTTTATGAGCCGGGCCAGCCTGGGACTCAATCTCCGCGCGTGGGGAGCTGGCGCAAGGCGGCAGGAGAGCGCACGCGTCTCGCCGAGCGGGGCCGCTCCAGAGGCTCGGTTTCCGGGGAAGACACCCAGCGTCTCCCGGAGTCTCAGACCGGCCCTGGCAGGGCAGGAGCCTGTGGGCCCCACTCGGGGGCTGGGGACGCTGGAGATCAAGGGGAGGGCAGCGGCGCCCGCCTCACCTCAGAGCCGCGGGGCGGCGGCCGGGCGCCCCGGGAAGAAGCGGGAACCCCGCCGAGACACCGGGCAGGGCATCCCCGAGCCCCGCTGGGCCCCACCCCCTGGGGCCTCCCGCCGCCCCCTCACCGGTCACGTAGGCGAACACCTCCCCGTCGAGCTCGGGGAACTCGCTGCGCAAGATCTCGGCGCAGGAGGCCATCGCCGCGCAGCCCGCCCCCGGCACCGGACCGCAGGCCCCGGACCAGCCCACCCCGGGCCACGCAGTCCTGGAAAAGGGGGAAGCGCGGGGCACGCCGGGAAAAGGTCCGCCGCGCGCGCGGGCTGCCGGGAAATCGAGTCCGGGACCAGCCACAGCGCGAGGGACGGCGGGATAGGGAGTCCCACGCATGCGCCTCTACCTGGGGCGCGCAGTCCTCGCAAGTTCCCGCCAGGACAGGGGAGGCGCATGCGCAGTGTGTGAAACGGGGTTGGGGGCGGGGCTCTAGAGCAGGGAGCAGAGCATAGAGGTCAAGGGGCGGGGCAACGACGTGGTTGCCCCAGTGATCAGAGGTTGGGCCCCGCCCCCCTGCTGATGGGGTGAGGGCTGCTGGGAACTGAGGGGTTCGGCCCAGCCCACCCCTGGTAGCCTGGGGGAACCAGCCAGCGGGGATCCTGACCCCCAGGGGTGCTGGGGACTTCGGGCCTCTCACTGTCCCCCATCAATGACTCTGCCCAGCTGGGGGCCCCCAGCACAGGGGTTCCCACTTTTCTTTTTGCTGGGACCCCCCCTTTGGAAATATTTCAGGCTGTGGTGACCCCCCCCAAAAAAAGTGACTGTGGTCCCACCCCCATACCAGGCCACCCTTTCTGCTGCACTGCTGCTGCTGGCGGCAGCGCTGCCTTCAGAGCCAGGCGCCCAGCCAGCCGCCACTGCTCTCCGGCCCCCCAGCTCTGCAGGCAGCAGCGAAGCCAGGGTGGCAATTCCACAACCCTCCTACAATCGGCCTGTGACCCCTTTTCGGGGTCAGGAAGCCCAATTTGAGAAACGGTGCGCTAGGGGCTGCTGTCGTCCCTCGATGCCCCTGCCCTGCACAGCGCTGGGTCTCTGGCAGACATGCTGCCGGCCAGCAGGGATCTGCTGTGGGGCAGGTGAAGGAGTGGGGTCTGTGGGGAGTGCCCCAGCCTCTTGTCACCGCCTGAGGGGCTCGAGGCGGACTTCAAAGGGTCCGTTGGC